TCTTGCCCCCCCATCCTTCTGTATTGTGTGACGCCCTGAGTCCCCCCAGGGAAAAGGGAGGCATACAAATACAGGAAAACTAAACTAAAAAAAAAAACTATCTCAATAAAAGGGGCTCTCAGACCCCCAATCTGGGTCGCTCCATCCCGAGAAAGATTGTGTCCGTGTCTTTTCTCCACATTGTCCTCATGGACGAACCACGGGAACGTTACAGAACTTAATTCTGGAAAGCAAATAGTGAAGGGAACGTTGAGATGCTCCCAACTAAACTCAGTTTAAATTCAGTTTAAGCCAGGGGTGTCCAAACTTGGGAACTTGAGGACTTATGGAAGTCCACAAGTCTTCACGTTCCCAAGTTTGGACACCCCTGGTTTAAACTCAAGGGGCCCTGAAGGTCCTCTCCTCTTACCCCAGTCTTTCTTTGCTCTCCTCTGGGGTCAACTGGTCGAACGTCTTGGCTTCGTCAACCCCCAGGAAGGCGTCGTGGTCGTAATCGAAGTTCTGGCCGTCATCGTGGACCTTGTCGCTCAGCTGAGAGTCGTGGTGGACGCGGTCCTTCTTCTCGGTGGGCTTGCTCTGAGCGCAGAAGGCACACAGGGCCAGGCACCCCACCACTTGCTGAACGCCCAAGACCATGGCTGAGGCCCTGAGAGGGATCCAAGCAGAGGACACGAGGGTTATGGATTTGGGGGCATCCGTGGAGACCACAGATGGTGTGAGCTGAAGTGGACGAGGAGGTGGCGGCCAGTTTCCCCAAAGACCAGAACTTGAAGGGCACCTGGTGATATTGAGACCTCGAAGAACCAGGAGACACCAAAGAAAACATCTAAGTTGGTTTGAGTGTCCAACTTGGGCCACTTTTAAGACTGGTGGACTTCAACTCCCAGAATTCCCCAGGTTGAAGTCCACAAGTCTTTATAAAGTCGCCAAGATTGGATCCCTCTGTTCACTGTGTCCACCCTGAAGCTGACCTGACCTGAAGGCATCTCAACAGCTCCAATGTGGAAGGAGCCAATCTTGGCGCCTTAGAAGAGACCTGTGGACTTCGACTCCCAGAATTCCTTGGAACCCTGACATTTTCTCAACCTCAGCTGAGGAGTCCATACATGGATATTCCTGATGTAGACCCAATTTTCTCAACCGTTTAAGATATGGAGACTTCAACTCCCAGAATCCACCATCTTAAAGCAGGCTGGCTGGGGAATTCTGGGAGTTGAAGTCCACAGGTCTTAAAGTTGCTAAGGGTGGATATCCCTAATCTATACCAACTTTTAAGATATGGA